TGAAGATGCTTTTTATCAAGTTTAAGATTTGATAGCTCATTTAGAATAACATGATTCTCGATAGATTCACTCATGAATGTTCGCTCGTAAATTGATCTCTCGTAAGGCTTGCGGACTGACTTGTTCCGAAAACGCTCAACGTCTTTTATTGTGAGTCTATACCGCAAGCGGTTGTTCGTTTGTTTGTAATTTCATCGCCCTAGAAATCATGGAAGCCGTGCTAACTTTCGTCGACGACCACTTCTCTTATCCTTTCCATGTGCTCAGCTGCCCTACTCTACGCATGTGCAGGTCTGATAAGCACATGACGCATGTGCTGTAGAGCCCGGACGGCGATTTGTGACTGAACGACTAACAGAAATAAAAAGAATGCCGAAATTTAAACTTAGGCCTTACTGCCTGAGTAATCACACCATCCTGGTGAAGATGGTGCAAAATTCAAGAGATCAATGAAAGAAAATCTAAGGTTGGATTATGAAAGGTATATCAGACCTCGAGTTAGGGCTTTGTTTTCAGTCTTTGGAATATTTATTACAGCCCACTTAGGGTCTCATATGGTGTGGCGGGTGCTTGTTGAGACCGAACGTCGGTAATCATAAGTTGGAACAACTCGCGGTTGGTACACTGAAATGCTAATAAAGAATGCTGTTCCTCTTCTTTAACAAAAGCCTTGCCGTGGAAATGATTAAGAGTCATCAAACTGACTGATCACGAAATTATCACAATTTTGCTATAGCTAGAGTCGTAATGCGCATGATGGTGATCGGTGTAATGGGTGTATTAGGTACATTTAGAGCCCTAATTATATTTTCTCTCAGCTCTAACGCTACTCTGAATATATGATTTCCCAGTAACTCAATATTTTGAGAAAACGGGCAAAAAATTTCCAAGATTAAGGTTGGTTTCAAAAACTTTTTCCACCTAGAGAGGGGATGATTAGACAATACTTATAATTTTACGTGCTCAGGACACAAACATTTATGGTATTTTCGAAGTGAAACGTTCCAATTCAGAGCATCAAATGTTCCTCAGGAAATGAAAAGTGTTGTCATATTACGAATACACAGTTAAAGACTCAAACATGAGCTACCAGGTACACTTTTTCCGTGTTAAATTTCACACATCTTTCGCCTCCATTTTATGCGGTCTTTTTGGTGCCTAAAAAAGACTTAGAAAATCGTAATATCAATGTGCCTGAAATATTAAAAGAATAAAGCTGGATAAGAATAGTTGTATTTCTATCGTGTGAAGTTTCGTGGTTAAGAAGTTCATTTTAAGCCTCAGTGGTGCCTTCCTTTTCGCAATAAATTTTGGACAATTTCTCAGGCAGAAAACTGCATTCAAACTGCATATTCAAATTTTCGCAGATTTCTAATTATAACAGTTAGTAAATAGTTTACAAAATGAAATCTTGTGCAAATATGAGCAATTCAACAAAACATCGTTGATAGACAATTATCGATCCTGAAAGGCTTAAACCAGTTTTTTTTTCAACATCCGTATTTATAATTACTCGAAGATTAATGAGTTGTCATTCATATTAGAAAGCCTCCTGTCGTTCATATCCTGGTAAGGCAGCCTTGTTTGTCAACTTGCCTTGTAAGCTCAACAGCTTACGTCACTAAAAATGTGCAGATTCAAAAGGAATTCCCAACACATGAGAGGTACCTCTTTTCGATTTCAAAGCCTTTTAAAGTCAAAGGTTATGTCTGTACTATCCAGGCAAAATGGAAGAAACTATGTAACAATGCCAATATTGTGAAAGAATGACCTCCCCAACTTTTCCCTACTATGACTGGAAAGGAAGAAGAAACTGTTTGCACAGACAAATCCAGATCTTTAGATAAAACCCCTCACCATGGTTAACCTACTTAACTATAACAACTGTTTGTCAAGCGGCCTTCTTTATATACAGTTAAAGCAGTCAACAAAGGTCAAATTTTTTTATTTACCAAGAGGGACACCATCCTGTCGTCCTTCCCCTTTACCTCTTCCATGACGATTTCCTGTGGAAGTATTGATAATGTATTACAATATTTTCACTTACTGATAGTGCCATGTAATTTTTACCATTGCTGTTAAAGCCATTTTGTATTTCAATTGCACTACTCACTTGTGTCAGTATTAAGGCCAGCGAACGTTTTACCCCGCCCAGCTGTAAGTAATGGTGGGATTTGACAGCATCGTTAACATGGGCATCAATTTCCCTTCGCTTGATCTGTTTACGCCAGTAGACTTTGCATTTCAACCCTTATCTGAGATAAAAATAGATGTAAGGATACATGACCTCTGAAAACAGTTAAAGGTGAATATTTATACTGGGTTAGATGGAGGATAAAAGGTGGGTCGATTGTCTGAATTTTGAAACTAAGACAAGCCGAATGTTATGAAATTTCACTTATTCCGCTTATCCGAATATTGCGGACATAATTATCAATGTTGAAGGGGCCGTGGGACAAATTTAAGGCACTCCTCACATAGGAATAATCCAAGACTTGAAGGATCATTTATGCATAATGTACAATAATCATCAAATAAGATGGGTGGAATCAATTTTAAAAATTTATTTTCTGTCTTGAGCATTGATGTGTTTTAAAAAGCCAGTCGTTTCTGCATTAACTGCAGTTAAAAATGCAGAACGTAGAAGTGCATATTTAGGAAATTAGCTGATTGGTAAATGCTTCTTACGGCTTTAAATTATATGCATTCCAAAAAGTACACAATAATTCAGCCCCCTCCCCAAGTTGAAATGGACGTTTTCCTTTTTTTCTCTTTTTTGAAATAGTGAGGGACTGCAAGAATTTACCAATCTGAGCTTTGATTGTTAAAGGTGAGGATCTGGGTATAGTGTTGTGTTACATCCAGCGGAAAGTCGGCGACAAGGGAAGAAAAGCACCCGATGTCCTCTCGTTCCAGAACAGACGTCCCTATGTAACTTCTAACTGCCTCTTGAAGTTATTGAAATGCGCTTGTATTTCTTAGCGTACTACCAAATGGGCGCATCCGACAAGGCCTCCGGTCAGCCTAAAGTGTATCTACCACCGAATTTAGTTTTAGTTCCATCACCGGAACAGCGGAGACCACAGAGGAGGCAGGTCTTTGTAGATGCAGCACCAGACCACTCTTGTTTATTTCACTGGAGAATCAATAAAAACTCTGGTGAAAAACTTCTCTTGCAATTATGCAGCAATGTGGATATTTTTCGCGGAAAACATAACTAAATAATTTCACCATTCCGTATGCTTAAAAAGGGGTAAACGGCATTCAGTGTCCATAGTCCTTTGACTTTTCATAGTCAGATTATGTCGCTTTGTATTCCCATTTCTGCACCACAGCAGTTTTTAAATGACTCGTTTATATCAGAATCACAACAAACAAACAAACATTCCTTATCCGGACGGTGTTTGTAACACACTTTTACATGAAGGATGGTTCATGCATTCACCTGCACTAAACTTACAGAGACCCAATAGCACAGCTTTGGTGAAGCTGCTCGTATTGGCTCAGTTAAGGATAAGATACAAGAAAATATTAACTGATATTAGGGCAATATCAGTTCATATTCATTTGATAAGACACTTGATACAAGCGAGTCACTTTTGTACTGGTGGTATAACTGTTAAATAAAATAGTAAAAACTTTATATAAATTTTACCATCAATGTCAACCCATTTCTTTATTTCTGAAAGGTTACCGCCTTACATCTTTCCCTCTGCCATCCCTTTTCTGCCTTAACTTGACGACTTTTTCTTTTTCTCTTGCAAGTGAGCACACCATTCTATGAAAGTATAAAAGTACACATAACCACGTCGAACAAGCAATAGCATTCTGGTTAGATCATCCCTTTTCATAACAGCCGCATTGTATTACTGGAAGATTGGTTAGTGTTTAAATATATATGAGAACATGTGGCCAAAAAAATACATGTTACAGGTAACGTACATTTTTGTGATTTCAAAGCTTTTTGTCTAAGGTTTTGTCTATACTATCCAGTCAAAGTTGTGGAACCTACGACGCCAATATTTACTCACCTTATCTCCACAATGACTGGAAAGGATTTGGCAAATTCAACTCTTCTCACAAGACTACTTGACACGTATAGCCTTCTCTTTTATAGTGAGCGCTTGTCAAGGGACCATTTTTCCTCCATAGTGAAGGAAGTCAACAGAGGAATGAAGTTTACGAGTTACTAAGTCAATGACACCAGCCCGCCTTTCTTTTCCTTTACCTTTTCGTTTAGGGTGGTTTCCTGCAGAAGTATTCAAATTGCATTTTAATATTTTCCCCTTACAGATAGTGTCGTGTTGCTGTTTTCATTGCTGTTTAAGTTATTTTTTTATTTCATATCGATGATTATTGTACTATTCACCTGTCCCTGTGTCAAGTCCGATGAAAGCTGTGGCTCACCCTGCTGCATGTCGTGTATGGATTTGGCAGCATCGTTAACATGGACCTTTATGTCCCTTCTCGGCTTAATCTCTATACGCCCATAGAATTTGCATCGCAAAACCCTCATTGGACATGAATGGAGAGGTAAGGATGCATGAGCTCTGGAAATACAAATAAAGGTGAAAATTTATGCCGGGTGAGATGAAGGGGAGAGAGGTCTGTTGGCTGTGTGAATTTTGAAAATGGCTATTGTTAAAACCAGTAAAAAGAGGAGGGTGGGGTGCTTCCCCACTTTTTAAGCAAAAATTTCATGCACTACTTATATCAAGGGTATATGGCAGTTGTGTCGCAAACTAATCGGCCAATTTGCCGTCGTCGATAAGAGTACAATCTAACTCAAACTTTTATCATCAAACTTAAGCACTGTAATGAACTGTCATCATTTGCGCTGGATGAGCATGCGCCTTTGACAAGTATTCCTTAACTTGTATTATACAGCAACCACCCTGAGTTATTGTAAAGAGAATATTACCTCTGGTCGCTAATGCACAGAACTCAGTTTACGCGAAAAACTACAGGCTAACCACTGAGACATTAGGTGTAGTTTTTCTCACCTCGAAAGTGACATACTCAAATCGAATGGCGTAACCAGCTTCCTCACCAAGTTTGCAGCCGAACTCTTCACTTAAGCACGTAGCAACTAACATGGCAGCCACTCGACGAGACTGTGTACAACCAAACATTCCATAATTTGTGTATCCATCATCATGCATGTACTAAAAGAAAAAAGTCTAGGATTACCTCACATGGGATAAGTTACAAGCAGTAACAATAATTACCGAGAGTAACATAAACCTCAATGTGCAGCCGTAGCGGTGACAAAGGTAGAACGTTACATGGCCACACGGAGATTCCTAATCTCCACGCAGAAATACCAAATTTCCCGCGACCCTATTATTTTGTAATTACATACAACCCAAGCAAAGAAAGATTTCCTATTTTACAGGAGACAACAAGAGTCAAAATGTCATTTTCAGACGTCAACTCGTTATGCATAACCTCACAACGGCGCTGTTTTCCTGTCGAGCGATTCACTTTTCTTCTTACCTGTGTATAAGCTGTGTTGCTTTTTCCAAAGCCTGTTACACCAACTGCAATAACGACCAGATTGTCTCCCACGATGTTCGGAAGCTGAAAGGAACAGATACAGTAGCTTTACCCCAGATTAAAAACACAAATTAGCACACGCAACACGAGTTCTTCGTGTCTTGTACTTAATAACAAGCGGGAGGGCTAGATGGCGCTGGTTCGGTACGTCTTGACTTACAATAAGTAACCATTTCATCACATGACGGCCGATTTATCTCCCTCTTCCTTCCTTCTTACGTTTTTCCTAGCATGCATCTTGCGAGGCGTACGGCTGAGTTGTACAACTTTTTCTAACACTGCTCGCGCGATCATGCTCGGCCCTCGCATGAGAAATTTTTTGTTCATAACATTTTTAGATAACACCGCATCCGGGGCCGTATAGATCTCTTGAAAAATAAACAAATACGACAGCTCTAAATTCCTGTTCAAATGCACAAAATTAAGCAAAAATAGACACTACATATCGTTTATTTACATATCGTAAAGATGTTTCACAGCTTAACATAGATTCCTCCGTACCTCTTCTCGAATCGCAAATATGGGCAAATACTCTCTTTGTTCCTTCATTGATTTCTTCCCAACAAACTCCCTCCTGGCTTCATTTTTATCTTTCATGTGTTCAGCAAACTTCTGCTTATCAGACTACGCTTAACCACTGTCAATTTGTCAAATATACTTGGGCGAGCATGTATAAGAGAAGTCACTTGGAATACATGCTCCCTTCATTTACTGCTTCTATGTAAATTGTGACTTCCTTCAGCCATTGATTTATATTATTACCCGTACGGACACACGCGCACTTTTATTGAAGAAAAACAAACAAACAAACAAATAATAATCAAAAACATCATAAGAAATAGTGGAATAGTGGTGAATTTGCGCCCAGGGAGACGAGAGCTGCGTGATAATCTTCGAAATAAGAGAAAACAGAACAAAGAGGTTGTTAAACGAACGCGTCTAAAAGCCGGAAAAAGGTGGCACCTATTACCTGGACAAACCTTACGTTGGGTCTGAAAAGCCAAAGTCCAAACGTATGCTGCATGTAACCTTTGTTCAAGTGGAGGGATAGTCACTTTCACGGTCAGTTTCTTGGATATAGGTACAGGAAGGGAAGAGCCATTACTTTCCTCAAGAATTTGTTGACATCGTCCTTCGATTGATGAGCCGACTGGAATCTAAGCTCTTGAATACATCAATAGTAAAAGTAAATCAGGGCATCTTGCGCAATTGACAACATTACATGTACCTTAATTACAGAAGACCTCTACCAATTTTTTTTGCAACAGGGGTGTTATCTATTCTTTAGGTGCACTGAGCTTTACCTAAAGTCAACGCTTTGCAAACCAGTAGCCTAAGAGGTCTATAACCATTCGAGTTATGAGTTATCTTCAACTTAAGCAAACTATAACCATTCGAGTTATGAGTTATCTTCAACTTAAGCGTACCATTCTCCACAGCGCTTGGGTCCAGTGAAACAAACATCCTTGAAGTGCTAGGTCAGACATTAAATGCCAGAAAACTGACCACAGCCTACTTTAAAAATCCAACACCACCTTCTTGACCGTGGTGAAGAAGAGAGTAGATCAGGAACTGATCGAAGCTTCTACAAAAAGGAGAAAAAAGTTTTAAACTCACATTTAAGGAAAATCAGATTTTCCATACTCGATGATCATTCTTACTAAAAATATAACATTTAAAGTTAAAAGCTTTGTAGTTCAACATTCGATAATTAAGTAAATACTCTGATCTTCTACCACCTAGCGGAAATTTCGATATTTCAACCCGTTTATGAATATGAACAGGAAGGAAACTTGCTTGGTTAGTTTACTTCTTTTTAAAAATGCATTTATGAAGAAAAGCTGCGTAAATGGAATGCGGCAAGGTTTAAAGGTAACGTCAGCGTACCAGGTCGTCGCTGGGCAAAGTTGGCCAAGAAGCTGAGGTACTGCTTGGATCTGACGTGGATGTCAGCCTGCAGAAAATTTAGTGGTATGTACTCCTGGTCCAGTTCGAAACCAAGGTCTATGGACCGTACCATATTTTCGCACCAAATGAAGAGTTTCACCTGCCTTTAGTAACTTGTTAAAGTTAATGAACGCAGTTATCGTGACGTAACATGCACAAAAAAGGTACTACCCCGCAAATAACCTCAGATCGGTTACTCAAAAATCACAAATTATAAAAATTACAAAATCCGATGTCCCTTGGATTTGATCCCATTTTATCTATCATTTATTATCGCCTGACCCGAAGTCCATTAGTGCGAACTCCCCGTCAACTCAAACTAATTTTACTTTCACATAGCTCAAAGTTACCCTTTTCACTTTAAGTGAAAATATCAGGCGATTGACGTCAAAGTTTCAGAACATAGCGGACTGTCAGGACACGTCCCAATCAAGAGTGAGATAACTGAAGCAAAAATCCATCGGCGAATTTGAGATTCTCACCTTCATAAATGAACGTTATCATGAATCTAATGTTTGTCTCGTGAAAAAAGATTGTACCTTTATGGAAATGGTTATTAAAGACACAATTGAGTGCAAATCGCGCTAATAAAAAACTTGTCTTTAAATATCCTTGCCCTTTAAAATAGTTTGATTTTCTTCTGCGTTGATGAAAGTTATTTGCGCGAAATGAAAACAATTTTTCAGCAAATGAATGTCTGAAGGAGCTCTTTATTTTATTCTGCTCTTGAACGTCATTTAAAATGCAATTATCGGTATTGAACGCTCCTTTCGCACAATTGTAGACTTTTTCATCTAAGTGAAAGTATAGGTGGTATGAATACGTGCAAATTTATGATTGTGATGCATTTTTCCTAATGATTAACACATGTTATTACATTTTACAAAAATGAGTTTTCAAGGAATTTTAACCGTGGCTCAAATCCTCTTAGAGCCATCATGTGTAACCTGGGACATAAGTTTTAATTGTAGGCATGGTTATACTTCATTGTGCGCAACGCCATGTATTTCAGTGAAGCTCCATTACTATTATTTATCATACAAACTACGGTGTCTTAGAAGGATTTACATCCCTGAAAAAATCCGTAACAACACACGTGAAAAAATGAGATTTTTTCACGTGCGTTTGATATCGTTAATCAGCGCTGATACGTCACGCGCCTTTCGCTTCACTCGTCTTTCGCGCCACTCGGTCAGGTTGATGAATGAACGGCAAAGTCTTCACCGATCTCAATCCAAGGTCATTTGTCAGAATTTCTTGGATTATGGCGGCTAAAACAATTTAAAATTCCGTATCGCTTACGGACAGTGACGTTGAAAACTTTTCTAGACAGGGAAAAAAACGAAAATAAGAAAAGAAAAACCGAAAGTTACGTATTCAGTGGCTGTGGTAATGGCATTTCTCTTCGCTGAGATCGAAAATCGACTGTCAGAAGATTTGCCACAGGCCGATTTTGGCCGTGTACCTGAAAGATTTCTGCTGTCGGTAAGGACCAAGTCAAAGCTGAGATTTTGCAATTAGAAAACTACGCCCATTGTTCGTTTTTGTAATAATTCGACGCATTTTTTCATCTTGAGTCCTAGCGCCAACGCACTTCATAATTTTTTTGGGGAGGATTGTCGATCTTTTTATTTCATTCGTTTATAAAGTTGACTTTTCTCGCCAGTATTGTGTTTATATGATAAGCAAAATAGAGAAACTTCATATCCACGCGCGTTTATGTATTAATCTCTGATGAAACAAATCAATAATTGACAAAAGTGAAGGAATATCAGTTGTGAATGAACAGCATAAAGATGTATTTGTGACATTTTCATAATTTTTATCGGACTATATCTGAGTGATTTACAGGTGCTCAGCGATAAAATTATCTGCTCATAACGACTGAGTGCTTAAATATAATTTCTGATTTTTTCAGATACAGATCAACCCTCAACGATCCCATTGTGATTTTACAATGATCCATATTGTGTGCTTACCAGGAAAGCGCCCTGCAGACCTCCATATCTGTATGGCCCAATTTGCTCCTCAGGGATGGGTAAAACCAGCTCAGATTTTTGTGTAACAAAATTGACAAAATTACAACTCTGTCTGGCCCTATTAATTAACAGATCTACATTTGTGACAGACTTCGATCTTTTCAATCTGCTTGTATGCGATAAAAGTCACAGCTCTAAGTGTGTCCAGTCTGCGTCGTAGTTTATTGTGCTCACCCGATACTTTTTTTTTATTTAAACGCAGAAGATAACTCGGAAAATGAACTCGGAACATGAACTCGGAACATGAACTCGGAACGTGAACTCGGAACGTGAACTCGGAACGTGAACTCGGAACATGAACTCGGAACATGAACTCGGAACATGAACTCGGAACGTGAACTCGGAACGTGAACTCGGAACGTGAACTCGGAACGAACTCGAACGAACCGAGAGCACCAACCTGACCGAGAGCCTGAACCGAGAGCCTGAACCGAGAGCCTGAACCGAGAGCCTGAACCGAGAGCCTGAACCGAGAGCCTGAACCGAGAGCCTGAACCGAGAGCCTGAACCGAGAGCCTGAACCGAGAGCCTGAACCGAGAGCCTGAACCAGCCTGAACCAAGAGCGTGAACTGAGAGCGTGAACTGAAAACATGAACTGTCCGCATGAACCGAGAAATTAACTGAGCCTGAAATGAGAGCCTGGACTCAGAGCCTATAATGTGGTTCTCGAAGGGATTAACGGTCAGCCGTTAAAGTAGATAGATTTCTACCGTCAGCTGTCACAAATGAAGCTTAATGTCAACCGTCAAACAGATTGAAGGTCTTCCGAATCCCTCAATTCTAGCCGCTTGCTTACAACAGTTAACAGCTTGTCTCTATGTTTCGAAACATTTTCAGTTTACGGTAATTTTTATTGATGTTCGTTCATCTAAGCAACAGTTTGAAAATGTTTTAATATTCGAATCAATAACTTGTTACTGCAAAAATAGCTAATTTCATTAATGACTTGCTTGTGTACACACGCCATTCCGTACTCTTCGACAATATCACAACCAAAAAGACGTTTGAATCATGTCAATTGTCCTGAAAGCCGCCAAAAGTATTTTTTTATCGTAAAATCAATAGTTTTCGCCGCTATATTAATGATTCCCACGAGATCACAGCGTTTTTATACTTGATCTATGCTTCAGATCCTTAAAGTGCAGGAGAGACTAGCATATGATCGAATGAAATGGAATGCAAGAACAGCAGGAAAGGAAAAGGAAAAGGAAAAGGAAAGGAAAGAAAATCATAAAGTACCCAAGATATCAACGCAACAATCGATTACAAGTAAATCCTAAAAGTGCGCCAGAAACTGACGGAACAATCGAATGTAAGACACTCCTTGCGCGCGCTGAGGTCAGCAATTTCGGTGGCATTTGAAATTAGCCAAAAAAGTTGCCAGTTGAAGATACTGAAGCCTACTAGGAGATGATTGGAAAGAATCAGGAGACATTCTGATAAATTTTATTTCAGTCAATTTACCATTTCGGTTTGAGCTCGTTTTTTGGCAATGCTGCCGACTGAAAAACCATCATTCACTATCATTCACTCGTTAAAACTGCAAGAACTATCATGAACTATCATGTGGAATATGAATATGAACAAACTCCATGATAGTCAATGATAGT